GTGAAACCCACGAGCACTGGTATGGTGCTGACAAACCTAGAAACATAATCAGGGCGAACTGGGATTCGAACCCACAATCATAGGTTTCTGGCGTGCCCAAGGGACGCAAATCTGCACAGCGAATCGCGGCGCCTTAGACGACTGGGCCACCCCAGCCCCCACAAGGCATATGTACCGATACAAGGCAGGTGTACCGATACAAGGATGACTGGTTACTGTGTAGCTATATTCATCCTATACTGCTGGTCTCTGAATGTAGAACGATTAATGGAGAACCAACACACTGGCTGTCATACTACACATAACCGAATGTAGGCCAACCCCACAACTTGACCCATGCAATCACAACCTAAATGCCATGCCATGGAGATAGACCAACCCCACAATATTAGCAACATGTTATGGTACACCGTTACATACTGTGCACACTGACCTGACTGGTTGCATGACAATATCATCTTACTTAATTTAAAATGGTTTATGAATTTTGTTAAATGATGACTTTAATAATGTATGCAAATAATTTAAATAGTTTTCAATACTTTTTGTTATTACCATGTCAAGTTCTTTGTCTTGGCCAACACCAGATCAGTTCCTTCCAATCAATGGTGAAACTATTTTGGTTGTTTTTCTTATTATAAATAAACCTTATTATGTACAAAAAAAACGTAATTTTCATGACATACAAAAAAATATGAAAACAATAGAATTTGACTATGGGAAGTAAGAGAAGTCAACAATGCCCATTTTGTATCAATACAAATTCATAATACATTTAATATTCCACACATAATAATCATTTGAAATAATATGAAAGCTGATCATATGCTATCAATATGTACCGGTAATACAAAGCATCATCATAATAATCATCTAGAATCAGTAAACAAACATTCCGAGTCTTCTTTGAGGGATTCCCTACACTGTTGCCATTTGGGAGACTCAGGCACTGTGTCCCCCCCAACAGAGGAGGGTCTAACAGCATCACCGTGGATACCCCCTGACAGCAGCACTCCAGGCCTTAAACCAACGTCCTTGTTCCTGATATTCCAGATTGATGGCTCCAATTCCAATAAACATTCCAATAAATATTTCAACAATCCTGCTATGTGACCTTTGTGGTTAACTTCACCATTATACCAGAAAACTTTTTATCCAAGTTTACAAAGCTTTCAAGGTCATAAAATAGGGCTCACTGCAAGTCGGTCATAACGAAAAAACCTTAAAAATAGTATAATAAGAAAGAATTTGATAAAGTTAGCACATTCCATGTTGATAATAAGGGGAATTAGGGTCCGTCATCATGCTAATTAAAGGTAAAACAAAACTAATACAATTAATAGTTTGAAATAAACATATTTCAATTAAATGATGAATTTTCTCATTTTGTTTGGCACATCTGCAAATTGAGAAAAATATGTCTGCCATAATAAAATAAAAAGGTTAGGGTCTGTAGCTCAGCTACAGTTGTTTCATAAATTTGAAAAGTCTTTTGATTCATATGATCATAATGTCATACACGGGTTTCCTAAAAACATAACAGTTACAATGTACACTCACAGCATATCAAATTACACATTCATACGGGTATATAATGCTTAAATTAAGGGCAAGACTGATATTTCAATTTCTTAATTTTAAGTATTTTAAAATATATGATATAAATATAAACTCAAGTAAAAACATCTTAGCTAAAAAGAGCAAGCTTATACTCCACCGGGCCTGTCGTGAGTGTTTGTAGTAGATCATACAGTTTAAAAAACTTCACTGCTGTTATACTGCCACATATAATCTGTTATACACTGTGTGAGTGGGGTTTAACACCGCTTTGAACAATGTTTCAATATATCACGTCATGTCTTGATGTGGGAAGAAAGCCCAAAGTGATGCAGGTCTTAACCCACAAGCTCAGGCAGGGTGCTGACAAACCAAGAAACATAACTGGGATTTGAACCCACAATCATAGGTTCCTGGTGTGCCCAAGGGATACAACTCTGCACAGCGAATTGCAGTACCTCAGACGACTGGTCATCATCCATCCATATTCAGTAATCAGAAACAAGCTACATAATTATTCACAGAAAAGAGGTAAAACCAATCTTGAATTGGACTCACATCTACCTAGCAAATGGCAGTTCTTGTACATAATTTAATGAAGAGTAGAATCCAGTTGGCAAAAGAACTCCATTCTGTTTACCCTGAACTGATTAGCATTGACTGTATAGGACTAGCATCTCCATAACATCATCACACAGTTCAAGTCTGAGAGATTCATTTAAAACACCATAGTAACAATAGTCATTTACGTGTATGAGACAGGCGAGATTTTCTCCAGTGTGCGCAGAATTTGACATAACAAAACAATGTCAGTCCTGGACATATATGTACAAGTTTGGTTGACTTCTATTGAACACACCAAAATCTTGTAAAGGTTAACATCGTGGTCCCAAAGAGAGATCTGATTATGTAGGTAATGTTTTCGAATATTCTGAGCATGTCTGCTTCATAAAGTGAAATTTTGTGTCGAAAATGAGGTTTGTGATACTTTCCATGGCAATACATTCATATTTCTAGGATTTTTTAGTGAGAAGAGGTCAGAATATATTGAATAATGCACCAAATCCCCCAAACAATATTTCCTGAGAAAAGCAGTAAAATATTCAAAATTTCAAACTATAAGTCGTAAGTTAGTAGTAATATCTGAGTTTATACATTTAGCTGTGCGTCTCACAATACTTAACAAAATCAACATAAAACAAACAAAATTTGTGCTTCTGTCATGTTAAAATCTCGATGTCTACAATGTTGATCCACTGGCAATAGATCTGTAAAATATACCGCATTCCACGTAATAAGCGCCCAGGGCGCTCTTAAAGTTAAAAATAGAGGGCTCTTATTAGAATAAAATTTTGGTGAAAAAAAAGCAGAGTTAAAAGATCGTAAATTTCGTGGTTTATCCTGAAAACCTGAAATGATACAAAAGAGATGTTTGTGTATTATACACGACAGATATATTTTTCCAGAATTTAATTGCCCATAATTAAGGGTGCATATAACACACGAGTGCGTATTATACACGAATATATAAGCCTTGTGTACATTGATCAATCGGAAGGAATTGGGATTGTTCACAAGCCCATATATTAGCATCTTCCCGAGGCAAGTGAGTTAACTGACTATAAAAGTCCAGTTTCCACCCTTGCCGAACTAGGCTGGTATCATGGAGTTACATCTTGGCTGGACTAACGAGTCTATGCATAGTCCAATCAAAATCGCGCAACGAAATTGAAATCCGTTTCATAAAGTGTCATGCAGATTTCAGTCGACTGCAGGATTTGCAAAGCATGTGCACCGCTAACTCGTCAACAGATATTTTCTAAATCTTTTCATGTTTTTTAATCAAGGTGCTCACGTGATTTGATGCACTTCGCGATGTAAGACTTGTTTTATCACCAAAAAATCTTGATTATCGATCAATCGTCTTAACTGGGCGCCACTGTTTTGTTGGAAGCAAATGCAAGTGATACGAGAGGTTGAATCTGATTGGTCAATAAGGAGAGGCATAGAAAGGACATAACTCGTAATAGCCACTGGTGGCGCTACGATCAAGCCCAGGAATTCCAGCCTAGTTCGGCAAGGGTGGAAACTGGACTTTTAAAGTCAGTTAACTCTCTTGCCTCGGGAAGATGATATATTAGCAAATATCACCGTGGGCTCTTATTACGTCGAATACGGTAGGCAGTGTTTACTAGGGCATGGACAATACACCAACTGTGCCATCAGATACGAATCACAATACCCTACTCATGATCCGATATGTATCACAATACTTGCATTTTCATAGAGAGGATGGCCAAATACCTGGCACACTGTTGATTTACAGTTGGCAGTGTTAAGTATGGCACAACAAATGAAAATATGTATGTTTTCACAATTAACTTGCACTACTGATTAGTGTTTAGTGGAACAGTTATCAAAGCAAACATTTCAGGTCAGAATCAATATTTTTTACTTAGTGCGCGACTGTGATCGATACTTGAATCAAGAAGTAAAAAATCGTAAGGTGGTGCCCATTATACACGAATTAATGAGTTTTGATGTTTTTTCCCCACATGGAAAGACATTACCGTGAGCACGTAACACCGCAAATACCATGTCAACAAATCCATACTGAAGTTCGCAAATTATTCATGTAATTACACTGTTTGGCTATAAAAAGTGTTCTTTGTATATCTGGACTTATGTTTGTAACTTATTTCATTAATTTTATTCAAAATTCCTTTTAATATTGTTTTAATTAATTTCGGCGAAATCGTGTGTGAAGCGATCGGAAGATCGCACAACTCACCGTTATTAACAGCAACCACGGTCAGATTACTGCTATTGACGCCTTGAAACGAACTTTAGTTGACAGAAAATGGATACATATATCATAAATGCCATTCTTTGATTCGTTATAAGTCATATTTGTTTTTGTTGGACGATTCTATGTCAACACGTAATTCTCGCGATCACGTGCACGGGACCTTTAACCGTGACTGGTCAGACTGGTTCCATGTAAAAAATAATACCCGGCAATAGCCAGCAGCTGCTTCGCTTAGGGTTATTATTATTTTAAATATGTTTAGTAAAAGCTGCATCTAAATTAACAAGATATTGGAATATATTATTCTTGATAAAAAAATAGTTTCAGATACAACTTTTGCTGATCCTTGCATTAAAATAATGTAAAGTAATATCATTGGGTGTGTCTTGACCGAATCAACGATAGATTCCAAGAAAACGTGTGTACATCTGATTGCTGTGTCCCGCTTAGTTTACGAGAAAATACACAAGGTAATCTTAATCCCTGGATATAAAACAATGCCTAGCTGAACAAAAACTACAATTTAAACGGTAAATCAACATGTCTGGTGATTTTTTATCTCAAATTTCGAATTTGTACTGACGAAGTTTCTCATCACCCGTTCGTTTGCCGGACTTTGCTGAAGGGGTACGGTGTAATATTTTTCTGCGCATAATATTCAAATTTCTTTTTTTCCAAAATATTGACCCCGCTAGAGGGGGGTGCGCATTATACATGGGTGCGCACTATACTCAAGAAAATACGGTATTTCTGATAGTTCAAACTGTTGACTTTCTTGTTCTAAATGTTCAGGTTGAACAAACAGCAAACTTATTTTCTTAACCTTCATTATCACAACTAAAAACTAAGTCTCAGATAGATTATGTACCCTGGATAAACAGAATCTGATACTGAACGTGCTTACAACTAGACAATGCTAGACAATTCATTAACACTGAGCATCAATATAGGCTGTACTATAAACAGTGACAATGACAACTGACGCGTTACTCTACATGCTCAATTTTCTCCGTGTCTGTGTCGTCGATTTCCTTCTCTTCTGATACCACAAGAAACAGCTTCTGAGCAAGTTTGGTAATTTTTTCTGAAAAATAAAGAACAACCATAAATATTTAATGAATAATTTGTGCGATGTTTGAGTGAGTTGAGGTTTATGCCTTTGAACAGAATTTTAGTTTTGTCACGGCATGTCAGTCGCATGTGAGAGGAAAGCTGATGATGAAGTGATGCAGGCTTGTTGGCAGTCACAGGCTTGAAGTACGTCACGTAGCCATTTACCACTTTTACTCCAGACAGCAATATTTAACATGAGTGAGTTAGGTAGTGAATGAGTGAGTAGGGTTTTACACCACTTTTAGCAATACTCCAGCAATAGCACGGCGGGGGACACCAGAAATGGGCTTCACACATTGTACCCATGTGGGGAATTGAACCCGGGTCTTTGGCGTGATGAGCAAACGCTTTAACCACTAGGCTACCCCATCGTCCCATATTTAACATTAACATCACCTTGTATCACTTTGCTCCAAGGGTACACATTGTAATTGTTGCCATGAGTTAAAACAGTGAAAACACCTGTTTGTTTGTCTTTTAACATCAACTCAGTGACCCGTACCATTCCAAGTAACTGAGTCTGACCATCCAATCCATTTGGTCGTCTCTTACGACCAGCAAAGGTTGCTAGGGACCTATTGTAACCCAGGATTCTATGGGGTTCTGTGTAATCAGGGTAATTATTAAGTGCAAGATTGGTAAACACCCTAAAAGCTGAGTCGGATACCGGTGATTTTCGTTAGCGACAGAGTATCTTTAGTCACTGCCCCAAGACACTTTCTTCTCAGAATGGAGAAGTCAAACAATTTTTTTTGCCCCAAATCACATTTCTGTTATGTCACCCAGTTAACTATTATATTTTACGTCTATAAATTATAATAACCAGAGCAGAGTTTGAATTAAAAACCTGCCAGGATGCCATCAGGACCCACAGACTTTAGAACATGTAGAAGATGCAGGCCCTGGATAAACTCATCAGGCCCTCATCTAAAGAACTGCAGCTTATTGTGACAAACATATCCACAATTTTTGTCGCTAAAATTCAAAGTACATGTAGGTGGCCCAATAAAAATTAAAAAGTATTTCAACTAGACTAGAACTGCTACTAATGAATGAAAAACAAACAAGTTTTGACATTGGTGACAAAATCATCTATGTTCCCCCCCCCGTCAAAAGTAATTTAATTTTTTAAATAATATAATTCATAAAAAAAAAAATAAAAAAAAAAAATATTAGGCCTTAGTATACAAATATGATGTTTTGGTGTGACCATGGACCTAAATAATTTATTAAGGTCGAAGGTGTGACTTGACTCCTACTTGCCGAGACTGACTAAGTTTTCATCCATGTTACCGGGCAACTACAACGTGTAACATATAATCCTGTGGGGTCAGCTGGATCACATGGTACACGGGGAGACCCAGTAAGCAAATGAGATCTGTCCTCTAGAACGAATGATGCAAGTTTTTGTCCATCTCGGAACACTAAATACATCTCATGGCCTCGGCCTTGTTAGCAAGACTATTGCTGTCAGTTATGTGAGACAGAAACGTAAGATAAGACCGTCATTAATAACAGACGACCTTCACTGACCCAACATTGTTTCAAAAGGAGGCTATCAGGGAGAAACGTGAAAAAACAACACGAATGTAACATCTCCAATGAACTCTTATGGTAGTTAAAAATTGTTCAACAATCAGCTGTTGTTATTTTTGTGACGAGTAATGAATGAAAGTAAATGCAAAATATATTACCAGAGTCTGGTAACCAGACACAGGTAATTCTGGAGTAAGTGAGTTGGGTTATGAAGAATTCTTTCAGTATCACAGTTGGGGACCGATCATTTGTTATTCTGAGGGGGTGGGGGGGGGGGGGGGGGGGTGGGGGGTGGGGGTGGGGGTGGGTTGGGGATTTCATCGAAAAAAAGAGTGAGTGAGTGAGTGAGTATGGTTTTACGCCGCTTTAAGCAACAATATTCCAGCAATAGCACGGCGGGGGGCACCAGAAATGGGCTTCACACATTGTACCCATGTCGGGTCTTCAGCGTGACGAGCGAACGCTTTAACCACTAGGCTACCCGACTGCCCCTCGAAAAAAAGAAACTTTCCCAGAAAATGATTGACTGTTGAAAAATAAGAAAAAATAGATTGTTGCAGGATAATTTAAAGAAATCATACTTGTCATTAAAAAATACATCTGGTTTTGCAGTGGTAGCTGAAAAAATATCCAGTCTCCATACAAAATTCCAGCTCCGGCCAGAATGTCCAATGGCCACTCCCTTTACAAGTTATATCACAATGGGAGATCGTACCATGGGGGGAAAGCTAAATGTGATATTGTAGGATATTGTAAATGTATATTTACAACTGTGGTGAAACCCACGAGCATGGTATGGTGCTGACAGGCTAAGGCTCATAATGGGGGTTGTGGGATTTGAACCCACCATCAGCGGATCCTGTCACAGCTAAGGCATGCAACTCTTCACAATTAGTGTGGCACTTTAAAGCACTAGGCCACGACCCCTGGCCAGTGTCTGAGTGGATCTGTGTCAGGTAGGAACTGTATGCAAATCGAAATATTAAATAAAAAAATAAGATAAGGTTGGAATCGTATATGACATTACATTCGCTACTTTTGGTACAGCTGCACTTAACAATGTTGACTGCCGGAGTCAAACCCAGTGTGTCCTGAAGATGATGTTTTCATATTCTCAAAGTCACAGCGAAAAAAAATCCTTTTGTTTTAACATACTGGTAGTTTATGAGCTAATAAAAGCGACACTTTGACATGTGAATATTCATTGGCTTCAAGTTCAAAGCCTTTTAACCATTATCATTGCTCAACCACATGCCGGGAAAGTTCAAGGTGACAGTTAAAACAGAGTGGGTAAGTTAGATTGGTCTTAGCTCTTAGCCATCTTCCAGCAACACCATTGCAAAGTAAAACCAAACGGGAATCGACCCCTTGAATTTAGCATGACTAGTAAACACTTGAACAACTAGGCGGCCCCACCTTCCCACAGATAAAAGAAATTTTATTTAAAAATCCACCAAATATTATTAACCAATCAGAACTCATTACAAAGTGGTATCTGAACCGTGAAGATCCGAGGAGAATAGGTCTTCAGCAACCAATGCTTGCTGTAAAAGGCGACTATGCTTGTCGTAAGAGGCGACTAACAGGATCCAGTGGTCAGGCTCACTGACTTGGTTGATGCATGTCATCCTATCCCAATTGTGTGGATCGATGTTCATAACGTCAATCACTGGATTGTGTGGTCCAGACTCGATTACTTACAGACCGCTGTCATATAGCTGGAATATTGCTGAGTGCGTCGTTAAACAACAAACAAACAAAGAAAACAAAGTGGTATCTACAAATAATCAGAACCAATCCTCCATGAATTCCCTCCATGTTGTCCACTCTACATTGCTGTTGTTCAAAAATTTATACACATATATCTATAAGACACTTGTTTAGCTCAAAAATACTTTCACCAAATTTCCTTACAAATTGACACAAATCAATGGCTGCTGACAGTGCAAAAAAGATATGTGTACTAGAAACAATGTGTAGGTGTGCGTGTGCGTAACAGCTTGATAAGATCAGCTACGAAAATACATCAGATAGTGACGGCTGTCTTTTCTTGTCAACAGTGATGTTATGCCAGAGCATGGCTTATCTGACACTGATTTCAAATCTCAGTCACTGTTTGAATTCCATGCCAAGTCATGTTGTTTGTGAGTTAGGGCCAGATTTCTTTTGCCAGACTGCCATTTGATGCATCACCAGTACTTCTTATCAGTAGAGGATGTAACGTGTAGAGGGGGTCACTCGTATGCGTGACGGCCTGTCAGTGGACCATGGATTTCTGCATGTTGCACAAAAATGTCTCTACAAGTGTTATTTGTGAAAATAATAAAACAAAATTACGCAGAGTTATATTGATCATTATACTAGTTATCGTATGACATGAAAAAAATGTCATAAGCAAAATAATAAATGGTAAAATTGGAAGAAAAATGTGCAAAAATTGAGCAAAATGTTCTGTTTTTGAAAGCGATTTTTTCCTATGTACATATTTTTTTCAGAAACTAACATGTAGTATTTTCTAAAAGCTTATTCATTGTAGAGTTACAAAATATATGGTATGCTTGGAATCTAGTCTTCTCATAATACGTTGATAGTAAATAAGAGCCTACCATTTTATAGTCTGGAAAAAAGAAGAAGATTATTTGTACATGAGTTTCTACTTTCTATGATATTAATTCCAGCTTAATCATAAATGGAAACATGTTTCCAAACAATAATGTTCAGAGAGGTTGTAGACAAGGAGACCCCTTCTGTCATATGTAGTTTTATCACGGACTTGTATATAGGTCCGTGGTTTTATTATGTGCTGGGGTACTTGTCAATCTTATCAGGAAGAATGATAATCATGATAATGTCAAAGGCATATCTATGGATGAGTGAGTGAGTGAGTGAGCAAATCATATTGTTTTAAGCCACCTTTAGCAATATTCCAGCAATATCACGGCTGGGGACACCAGAAATAAGGTTCACTCATTGTACCCATGTGGGGAATCGAACCTGCGAACACTTTCCGTGCGTATCAATGGATGAAGTAACCACAGTATGCAGACGACACCGAATGTATCTTGAAACTCTAAACTTAATGGCTGATACATCTGGTTAAAAATTATTTATGAAAAAAAACAACAGGTTGTATGGATTGGTTCAATGAAAAATAGTGATGTATGGTTTGTCTCAACCTTGAAATTTGTATGGAACCCAGATAATTTCAGGATTCTTGGGATAACATTTCCTACGTTTTAACATGAAAGGATAAGACTCAACTATCAAGGTATATTACTTGAAAATTAGGCAATAATTAACAGATGGATGAACAGAACTATTACCATTAAGTCTTTGCTTGTTCCAAAATTGACCTTGATCTTTTTAACTCAACATACCACCCCTGGAGATTATCGGAGAGATCTAAACCAGATGGTTTTTAAATTTGTGTGGGGTAACAAAAGCGATAGAATTAATAGTTCAACATTATGCCAATCTCATTAAAATCAGATCTTAGATTTCGCTACCGCTGAACAAAGATCTGAGGACATCCCATAACAGGTCACGTCAGAACGACCTTTCGCGAATTTTGACCGACCAATGAAATGATTGACAAGAAATCGACATGAGCCAATCAGAAGGCAGCTTTCTTTTATGCAAACCAGTTGTGAAGGGAGCACTGGGAAATGACTGATATTTACTCTCATGTGATCATCATTAAAAATTTCCAGGATCAGGAAACTAGTGACAACTGAAAATTGTAAATGAAAACTTTACTGTTGGCACAACACAGCAACCAGAGCATGTTCATATTTTTTCTTTCCGAAAGGACTTTCCTTTTGTGGTTTCTAGAAAGGTTTCCAATAATTTGAGAAATTTTCCCAAAAATAGTCATGCTGCAGATTTTGAGGAATTTGTTTGTGTAAGTTTGTCTTGTTGAAGTAATATTAACATTGGTGGTAATACCTTTTCCAGTCCAAATTGGGAACCTGTAGGTCTCATTCAAGTGTTTGATATCATAAAACAGACAATAGATTATTACCCTTTGCTGCTTTTCAAAGTACTTATGATGTAGATACCAACTTTTGGTATTTGATTGGCTTTTGAATTCAGTAAAAAAACAAGTATTTGTCACAAAGTGACGAAATGTCCCCCGCCTGTATATACACCATAGTACCAAATATGAAGACAATCCAGCGATTAGTTCTTGAGATATTGCGGCAACACCGTTTTCCAACTCCAAAAGCAGATTTGCCTGCTGTGACCTTGAAAATGGGGTCAAGGTCACCAAAACCGACTGGTGTCTGCGGAGTCTGTATATACACCATAGCTCCAAATATGAAGACGATCCAGCGATTAGTTCTTGAGATATTGCGGCAACACCGTTTTCCAACTCCAAAAGCAGATTTGCCTGCTGTGACCTTGAAAATGGGGTCAAGGTCACCAAAACCGACTGGTGTCTGCGGAGTCTGTATATACACCATAGCTCCAAATATGAAGACGATCCAGTGTTTAGTTCTTGAGATATCGCGGCAACACCGTTTTCCAACTCCAAAAGCAGATTTGCCTGCTGTGACCTTGAAAATGGGGTCAAGGTCACCAAAACTGACTGGTGTCTGCGGAGTCCGTATATACACCATAGCTCCAAATATGAAGACAATCCAGTGTTTAGTTCTTGAGATATCGCGGCAACAAACTGGTGGGACGTACGGACGGTCGTGAATACTATATCCCCCGCTTCGCGCTTTCGCGCGGCGGGGAACAATAATGCCTGAAATCTCTCAAATTGGAAATATCAAATACGCATGTTCTTCCTGTTGAAAGTTTGAAACTTACTTTCATTAAAAAAGGCACCAATATATACTACATTCTGGTAACTTTAAACCACTTAGATGGAAAAATTGTACCTTTACAAATAATATTAATCCTGACTGGGCCCAAATTTATGTCAAAGCATACCAAACTAAGATGGTGCCAATATAGACTACTGCACCGCTTAATAACAACAATAAACGATGAGTGGGAGTTGTTTATCATACAATAAAACAACCCGTGATGATCCGGGGTAGAATGGGTCTTCAGCAACAATTGCTTGCCGTAAAAGGCGACTATGCTAGTCGTAGAGGCAACTAACGGGATCGGGTGGTCAGGCTTGCTGCCTTGGTTGATGCATGTCATCAATCCCAAATGTGTGGATTGATGCTCATGATATCAATCACTTGATTGTCTGGTCCAGACTTTATTATTTACATATATATAGCTGGAATATTGCTGAGTGCGGCGTTAATCAACCAACCAACCAACAATAAAACACTGCAGGGAGAATAAACCATGAGGGGCGCATGAGTTTTTGTGATGTTGTTCAGACGTTTGGGAATGATCTTCTGTCTTGGGTAACAGACAATTGCTCACATGTGTTTAATATGCAATTGGATGCTCAGCTTGTATTATCTGGAATAATCTAAAGAATAATATTGTTACTGATGACCTATTTGATCTAATTTTGTCACTTTACATTTTTCATTTTAAGTGTAAACATAGTAAATTGAATTCGAAAATAATTTTGAAACATTTTAGGCAGGAGCTAAAACAAAGATTTATCATTGATAAACAAATTTATCTTAAAATGAAACAAACCATCCTACATTGTTTGAAAACAAAAGTTGTGTCCCTTTAATACCTTGAAATGTATGTCGTATGTTTTTACTTCAGTATTGTCTTATATTCTATGTAAACCACTGTTAAACAATAAAGAATGTAAGAAAGTGATGTGTGTATGTGAGCATGAACATGATGAAAGAGGAAGAAAATATATAAAAATCTGTTCAAATGGTTACAAAAAATTATACTCAAGAATGATTCCATTTGTTGTACCAGAGATTCCAAAATAACACTTGATACGTAAAAAAATATTTTTTTAATATTCTGGGGTAGACAGGATATTTTTCCAGTCACTGCTTCAAAACATGCATTTATTTTCTAAGGAAGTGACGAAATGCGTTATTTCTTTCACAACACATTTTTTTCTGGGGTATTCAGAATGTCCGGCAATCAATTTTTTGTTGTAAAACCTGATGAAAAATTCATTTAGCCAATAAAACCAGGCCTGCCTCAGAATATCAAAAGGTCGGTGTCTCAGTCACTCCTGTTGCTCCGTTCAGGGATGTAGGGCATACCATCCACCTACTCTATCACAAAAGGAGATTTAGAGACTTGTCTAGGAATTCTCATTAAATGGTAGAGAATTCCTACATGAAATCATGTAATACATGACAGCGTTACGGGGTCGGAAAAATAAAATTGGTGAGGGCCACGGCAAAAATGAACAGTTATTTCTGGATTGAAATTCCTATTGTGTCAGTTAATAGGATTTACTACTTCAAGGGAGAATAACATATATATATATATATATGAGGACAAGCATTTAAGGATTTTTTTGCAAAAAAATGGACAGACTTCTTGAGAATATAATATATTCGTGTAGCATGGTACGCTATATTATTGCAGTAGTTAATTTATGATGGATTGTAATGGCGCACTCTTACTAACTTATTAAAAGTCATATGCAAAATGTTTCTTGCTCTTTGTTCAACATAAATGACACATCAATTAGGATTCATCGATGCTGATTTTCTCTACCAAATCCGGTAAACAAAGTACCTGTCATTAGCGACTCAAGTGTGGGCAACTCTATATCATCATGGTATCACTATGTTGTGGTGTGATACGTGTGGAATATATGCTGTACATCACTTCTTGGTTTGGTTATGCATAATCAGTAAGCACACGACCAAGGTTGAGTCAAGGGAATTTGTCCAAAGAAATGGGATCTTTTCTAATCAATTTCAACTTCAAAAACATTCCAGAAACTATAACAAAACGTTATCGTGTATACTTATGAGTAGCCATGACATACCACAACAAATCCTTATTCGTTCAAGCGATGAAATATCGTGCTTCAATCTGCATATGTAAACAGTAGACAGGGGGTGTGGATTAGAAGATTTACTGATACTGTGATAATATAAAGTGATACCATACTTCAGAGAACAATTCCGACCAATCCAGTGATTGACATCATGAACATTGATCCATGCAATTGGGATGCGAAGACATACATCAACCAAGTCAGCAAGGTTGACCACCCAATCCCGTTAGTCAGCTCTTACGACAAGCAAAGTTGCCTTTTACGATAAGAATGGGTAGCTGACGACCTATTCTACCCCAGATCTTCACGGGTCGATACACGGGTGTACATGAGTGAGTGAGTGAGCTTAATGACTCTTTGAACATTGTGTCAGTTAATGTGGGACAAAAGCCTCAAGTGAAGACATTTACCACTTTGGTGAAACCAACGAGCACAGTAATGGTGCCGACAGACCTCACAATCACATGTTCCTGTCACACTCTGCACAGAAAAATGTGTCAGCTGAAACCACTGAATCACCAGTACCCCTGCCTTTAACACCTATCAGCAGCGTGTTGGGGACTTATTCAACACTTGTCATTACTGTGCATAGCAGGGTTGTTCAGAGGAAGGGTAAGAGTGTTTTAAAATTGAATTCTGCTTTTAACAGTATTTCGGTCTGCTGACATGCCAAGATGACATACAATGTATGTGTATTTGTACTCCATTCTATGGTTGGAAATAAATAAAAAGAAATAAAGAAATAAAAAAATAAGAAAATAAAGATAACATCAATAATTTTTAACCACATGTAGACAACAATTGTACATATACTACTAAAAAAAGCTAAAGAACACCCAATTTGTTCATGTGTCATGGCTGGTGGTTATTGCAACACAGCCTTCCAAGTGTGGGTGTTCTTCAACTTGTTTTGAGTAGTATATGATTTCTGAACCAAATGCAAGTGAGTGAGTGAGTATGGTTTTACGCCGCTTTTAGCAATGTTCCAGCAATATCACGGCGGGGGACACCAGAAATGGGCTTCACACATTGTACCCATGTCGGGAATTGAACCCGAGTCCTCGGCGTGACGAGCGAACGCTTTAACCACTAGGCTACCCGACCGCCCCCCAAATGCAAGTGATACGAGAGCTGGAATCTGATTGGTCAATAGAAGGGACATAACTTGTAATAGCCAGTGGAGGCGCTACGATCAAGCCATGAAATTCCAGCCTCGTTGAAACTGGACTTTTACAGTCAGTGAGCTCCCTCCTCTTGGAAGATGGGTGCAAGATGTCAAACTGAGATGGTTGACAAAGGTTTCCTTGACAAATAAGCAGCATAAAGTCAATCTGAAGTAATACTTACGAACAAAAGTGTTGAAAGACTTGGGTTTACTCTTCCACTTGACGCCGATTATATAGACAGGAATTCCCGAGCACACAATAAGGACTCCCATCCCTGTGTCCCGAGGCGCTGCATAAAGTGGCACGATCAGCAAGAAGACCACAGCCACCAAAAATATAACTGGTATGAAAATGGGAAACTGAAAGAAGAAAGAAAATATATTGACAGACTTAACCTACCAGACATAATCAACACTGAACAATGTCCACAAGCACCATCACAATAATGACAACAGGCAAGCATCCTGCCGAGGCAAGAGCGTCCACTAGCCTTTTTCATCAAAATCTCGTTTCCACCCCAGCCACACCAAGTCCACTTTCCTGTGCTAAATATGATTGGACTATCGCACATATCGATAGTCTAATCAGAGAACGTTCCACAAAATCAACATCCACAACTGGTACACCTTCATATGAAAGTGATTTACCACTGCCTGTCTTTGTCTTTAACATCTTTTCCACGCACGCACGCACACGTCTATCCCAACGATTGCCTATGTTTTTGTGCCAGGAATGAAATATGAAATCACAAATGTTTTCGTTATCTGATCGACTAGGTCGTCGCCATCTTTGTGAAGCTAGAGCAGCCATCTGATTGGATATCGCGTTTTCATTACAAGGGGCACAACTCTTGATCTATGTAAGATGGCGCCAGGGTCGAGCCAAGAAAAGTGGCCTTGATGTGGCAAGGTTGAAACTAGGCTTTGATATTGGCGAGTGGACACGCTTGCCTCGGGAAGATGACAGGTAATAGACTTGTGACATTTATGAATGAATGAACGAATGTTATTTTATGCCACAGACAGCAATATTACAGCCTTATCATAGTAGCTTGTAAATAATCAAGTGTGGGCCAAACCATGCAGGGATTTATCTAGGATTCCAAACTCAGTGTGTTTGGTGGGCAAATTGGGAATGTATTGTGATCTTGTTCAAAATTGGATGTTTTTAATGTTCTTATTTTTGGAAATTCTGAGGAATTGGGCAACGTTTAATTCAAATTGGGAACCTTTACTGACATTTGCTGCAGACTTAGGGTCGAGTCTATGTTGACTCTGTACTTAAAAAAGTAATCTAATTGAAATTGTAAACAAAAAACTGACATAAATACAAATGAACATTACTTGGGGACTGGTCATTTATTACATGATGGGGTTGGGGGCATGAAAAAAAGGAAAGAAAAAAAACAAATGAAAATATCATAGGATGGGGTGGGGCATGAAAAAAAGAGAGAGAAAAACCAAATGAACATATTATATCATGGGGTGGGGCATGAAATAAGAAAGAAAAAAATACATAAAATTGGGGGTGGGGGCAGCAAACTATGATACAGTCCTAAGACACAATACATGACCAGTCCCTAAATCTATGCTGAAGGCTGGGGGTTACGACAACCATAGCACCCCCCGCACCCCCCCACCCCACCCCCGCAAGGCAGTTTGTAACACAAGCAGCTGGGACACCGACAGTGTCATGTTGCTGCTTGCCTTGGTACACAAGTACTCACCTTAATAGGTCTGGGCAGGTTTGGTTTAGTTTTTCTCAGATACAACATCCCTAGGATGGATGCCCCGACTGACAGCCACTGGACGAAGCTGAGGTAATTGATGAGGGCGTACACGTCACTGGACACCAGCATCAGGATTGACATAGAACCCTGTAATTGTGACAACAATCAGTACTACATAAGAATTGACAATCTCATTCCGCGTTTGTTTGCATATACATTGTCCCCTCGCTATTGCACTTTTCAATATAGTGCTAACTCGGTTATAGCGTGCGGTAATGCATGGCTCCAAAAATAAAGGACAAGGACATGATCTAAAAAAAACCCATTAACATTAACTAGCATGCGGTAATGCATGGCTCCAAAAATAAAGGACAAGGACACGATCTAAAAAAAACCCCATTAACAGCTGATCACTGCGATCAGCGAAACACTAGAACTACCAGTCTACAAATCCGAACTGAAGTACGCAATTTAATCCCATTATTATCATGTCTAGTGATATTTTATATCAAATTTCATATTTTTACTGACGAAGTTCGTAACACCTGTTAGGTAGGCAGAGCATGTATACTGTTTTGTTGGTAATCTTCCACCTACGACTCCACCTCGGTTAAACCGCTGATCGTCTATAACGCGCATCAATTATTTGGACCTCAAAGGGAGCGTTGTAGTGAGGGATCACTGTATTTAATATATATATGTTGGTGACATTTACTCCGTCAAACCCCAATTTTCATGCCTAGGACCCCCTTCCCCAGGATACATAGGAGCTGGGACTTAACACCGCTTTGAACAGTATTCCCGTTTTATTACGGCGTGTCAGCTTAATGTGGGAGGAAAGCCCGAAGTGATGCATGTCTCAGATGTTTACCACTTTGGTGAAACCCACGAGCATGGTTATGGTGCTGACTAACCCAGAGTGAGTGAGTATGGTTTTACGCCGCTTTTAGCAATATTCCAGCAATATCACGGCGGGGGACACCAGAAATGGGCTTCACACATTGTACCCATGTGGGGAATCGAACCCGGGTCTTCGGTGTGACGAGCAAACGCTTTAACCACTAGGCTACCCGACCGCCCCTACTTATTCCAGAAACATAATCGGGGTGACCAGGGATTTGAACCCACAATCATAGGTTTTCCGCATGCTCAAGGGCCGCTTTAGACAACAGGGCCACTGGTACCCCGACTCACAAATAGAAAAGCCTTGGCATATCCCAGGTCAGACCAATTGATAACATTGGCTTCTGTTTGTTTTTACAAAAAGACAAAAACAAAAAACAACGCTCATGAAAGTTACCGTAAAAAACATTGCAGGTAGCGGCGTGAAACGATTCACGTTGATCATAGCTAGGAAGTCTGGTAAATGCCCCTCACGAGCACCCACAAAAAACATTCTGAAAGACAAAAATATGGAAACTTAGTTCAGCTTACTGAATATCTGAATATAATAGTAGTATCATGGAACTGTTCTGGGTGAACAATACCTTCCAAATGACGTGCTGGTTTTCTTGGGGAATTAGTCAGCAAAGAGCCAGAGTCACAGGAGACTAATCACAATTTTATTTACAAGAACAATTAACAATATACTTAGATAATAACTGAGGGTGCCACAGAGAGTCGGTACAACACTCTGGGCTGTGGGAGAGAGGTCTGCTTGGTAAGTTGGTCAAACCCCTTCTCTCCCTAAAACCTGCCTACAGTATGTATTTAACAAAAATTTAAACAATAGAAAGGAATGTGATTGGTTGATACACGATTGGTTGTGTCCTAAGCTAAATGGATGGCTAGACAGAGGGGAATACTAAATCCTGTTTATCCTGTTGGACTGGCACTAATCTTGTTGACATATTTACTGGATGCTTTGAAAGAGATTAGGGTGTCACTATAGATGAGCTTGTGTGGGGGCTAATCCTTAATGCCCTATAGACGAGCTTGTATGGGGGCTAATCCTTAATGCACTATAGACGAGCTTGTATGGGGGCTAATCCTTAATGAGTCTTAATTGAAATAATGTTATTCTAATATACCCCGGTGGGTGATGACAGATATACTTAAATAAATATCCTTTGTCTGGGAGATGGGATCTTGATACCTTAGGCTAGCATTTATCTAAAAGCTTTAAATCAATTAAACTATGTAGACGTAACTCTTGTCTTATTGAATAGTATGTCTAGAAGACGCGCTCCCATTACCTTAGGCTAGCAACCATCTAAAAAGCTTTAACTGAAACTACTGATATTTTATATATGCATTTTACCTAATGATAATTATTACTTGCTAAAACTACAATTATATGAAATGATGTATAAATATTACATCATGATAACTCATAAAAGCACTTGATGTAGATCTAATTATTATAAGATAACTTAGTATAAATGTTATCCCATGATAACTTTTGGACCCCAAACGTGTAAAAATAAAAATAATTAAGGCTTAGATGGACAATGTATAAAGTTAAACTGGTAGTAGTGAATAATAATTATTATAGAGTCTCTTTGATATAATGAAACATAATATAAAAATGCTGTCATCAGGGGTTCTGGATGTGGAGCTGGCTTGTCTTGGCACTCTGTACTGGTGGCTTTATGGGTGATGTAGGAGGCCTTGAGTTCCACATCCTGGATTGGGGTTGTAAGGTAGTAGGCTGTGTCCATGGAGGTTTTACATGGAAACAAAGAAAAGAGAGTTAGCATGTTCAAATAATATGTCATATATAAATACTTCCTTAGTTTGTCTGTAATAACTAGAAAATAAAACAAATATGATAATTATGATGTAAAAGATCAGTACATAATTATTACTAAACGGTGTCATGACCAGGAAGAATGTATTGGCGGCAAATTACAAAAGTTTATCATGAAAAAAAAATAGTAATATCCTTCTACTTTTGGATACAATCATTAGACACATTATATGTGCATGTGCATATAACAAGTGCATTGATTTGTTACATTAATACGGTATACAAAAGGTGTATATCATTGTTAGTTTTTGTAACTATTTGGTTTGCCTTTTCTTTGTTTTGGTTCATTTCGGTTGTTAAGTTTACTTTATTTGAATTTGGTTTGTTTCGCTTTGATTTTCCTTCGGTTCAATGCGATAGGATTTGGTTTATTTTGCTTCGGTACGGTTTGGGTTCGATTCCCAGTATGGTTTGGCTCGCTTCGGTACGGTTTGGGTTCGATTCCCAGTATGGTTTGGTTTGCTTCGGTACGGTTTGGGTTCGATTCCCAGTATGGTTTGGTTCGCTTCAGTACGGTTTGGGTTCGCTTCCCAGTATGGTTTGGTTCGCTTCGGTACGGTTTGGGTTCGATTCCCAGTATGGTTTGGTTCGCTTCAGTACGGTTTGGGTTCGCTTCCCAGTATGGTTTGGTTCGCTTCGGTACGGTTTGGGTTTCGATTCCCAGTATGGTTTGGTTCGCTTCGGTACGGTTTGGGTTCGATTCCCAGTATGGTTTGGTTCGCTTCGGTACGGTTTGGGTTCGTGTCATTTCACTTCGCTTTTGAGATTGGTTGATCAGGTCAATGCTCAAAATTTGTTGTGATACAAATAACTCAGATAATCAGGCTGATGCCATTTGTTCTCAACTGGCGACCCATAGTGAAAAGACTGGACACAAGAAAACATAACAAGATACAGCTAATAGCTGTTTCGTGATTTGCACCGTTTATTCAGGAGATTTTGTATTTTTATCAAGAATATGTGCAATTGGCATTGTTCGGTATGTATGGTGCGTTGATCCTGGTATGGATGAATACTGTCTGTGAGTGAAATACGGTAGGAAAAGGTGTTGATGTTTTCATGGTCTATATCTTGAAAAATAACCCTTTTGGATTTATAAATTGGTGGTTCCTCTGGATCATATCGAGGATTATCTTCTAGACCCAGCCACTCATGGAGATCGTTCCAGCTATCATCAAGGTAGCGCTGTATGAGGTGGGGAGGAACACTTTCGAAATAGCATGTGAATTGACCAGGATATTCTTTATATGAGACCTTGACATAGCAGTCTCCTTGAATAATTTCAATGCCCATAACTCTTTCCATTTTATGATCTACTTTTCGTAGGTGTTTTGGAAAAAACGGATATGGTTTGACATCTAATTCTATGCATGGTTTGGTGTTGTCTTGCTTGACATTTCCGGACATTGTATTCCCTGACAGAACATTGATTGATTTATTGTCTTGTGCTGATTCCTTTTGGTCGAAAAACTTATGATTCTTCAGTGGACGTTTTCGTCGTTTTCCTGACATACTTCTTTTGAGGTGAAATTCTCTCCGAATGGAGTCTGGAATGCTGCTGCCATACTCCCATGTGTTTCCTCTTTCTGGGTCCTTCCATTTTACTCTGTAGTAGATTTTGCCATTTGCTCTCTTGGAACTAACAATTGAGTGGATGCCCTCTGGATTGAAGACCTGAGGGATATCCTTGGTTTGATTACCTGATGTTGGACTTGGAGGTTGTACCTGGCTGTCGTCAGGTTGTTTTCTGGATTTGGGCTGGTGATGCTTACTATTCACTCCTCTTTCCCCTTTGTTTACCTTTTCATTTACCTTGGTTGGAGCACTAGGACCTGGTGTGGCATGATTTTCCTTCATTGTTGCCGTGGGACTGGTAGGTTTTTCTGTTGTACTTGAAGCAGGGATTTTCTTCTTTGTTGGGGTCTTTTGCTTTGGACTCTTGTTGCTGGAAGTACCTGCCTTTGTTTTGGAATTGACCTTCTTACCTTTCTGTTGTGGAGGTGATTGATCAGTAGCCTGGTAAGTTGAACTTGTTGGTGGGGAATTGTTGCTGTCAAGATGAGTATCATTGACTGGTTCCTCGTTGTCATCCATGACTCCTGAATCTATGTCACTGGGGTTATTGAGGTATGGTTCTGGAGGATACTGTGGACGATCAGCAGGATCAAAATATGGCTTCAGACGGTTTGCATGGACCAGTGGTTTGTGTATTTTGTCGTCAGAACATCGGCGCAGTTTGTAGGTATAATTTGGACCTGTATGGATGATATAATAGCTACCATACCACTTTTTGGTTAATTTGTTGGAAAGGCCTTTTTCAACTTTTTGACAGTAAAGCCAAACTCTTTGACCTGGGGCGAATTCTGGTTCTTTAGCCTTTCTATTATATTGTTCTGAATACACCTCCTTAGCCCGAGCAGTGTTTTCAGCTGCGATTGTTCTAGTGATTTCAAGCTCCTCAAGCAAATTGGAAAGATAACTTTTGTTATTGTGGCCTAAATTTTCTTTTGGAATTAATGCTACATCTTGTGGAGCTCTCATTTCCCGGCCGAAAAGCATAACATATGGGGATTTTTGAGTTGATGAATTTGGAGCCATCCGATAGGCCATCATGATGCCAGGAATAAAACGGGGCCAATCATTTTGAGACTTGTTACAATAGGCTCTTAGTGATTGATTGATGTAAGAGTTGAGCCTTTCTACACAGCTGTTTGTTTGAGGATGGTATGGGCTGGTATGGGTAAATTTAATTGCCAAAAGTTCACAAATTGCTTTGATAAGTTTGGACATGAAATTCTGACCTCTGTCTGAAATTAAGGTCCTTGGAGCGCCATAACGACAAATTATTTCTCTGACGAAAACATCTGCTACCTCTTTGGCTTCTTGGGTCCGAAGTGGAAAGGCTTCACACCATCTAGATGATGCATCTGTGATGACCAAAATGTACTTGTACTTATCTGGTGTTGTTGGCAGGGGACCGAGAATGTCAATGTGCCATCGGGTGAAGACCTCTTCTACAGGTAGTGGACGAAGTGGTGCCTTCTTGCCATGGTAGTGCCTCTTGGTCTGTTGACATACCTCACATGTCTGGACATAAGTAGCAATATCGCTGTACATTTTGGGCCAGTAGTACTTAGGTCTCATGGTGTTGTGCATCCTTTCTTTCCCATGGTGGCAACCGCCAAACTCTGAGTCATGATAGGATTGCAGGACTTGATTTCTGAGGGTTCTTGGGACTGCCAGCTGTTTAATGAACTTGTCTGCGTGGCCTTTCTGTCTTTGTGGAACAAATCGGTATAGGATGCCTTCATCAATTTCAAAAGTATTGGCTTCAATAAGAATCTTTTGACGATCCTTTTCATTTTGTGGAAGGACTTCATCCTCTTTGTAGTCAAAGATTTGGATGAAATCTGGACAAATCCTTTGTAGGTGACGTAAATTTGGATGTTCTTTTATACTTACTTCAACCAATGTGTCTTGGGTAACATCAGCATTTGAAGCATGTAATGCTGCGACAACATTAACTGGTACTGACTGATAATCCTCTTCATATTCAAAGGTGGCTGACCAATGTGTTGTCTGTGTGTCTGATTCTAAGTGATTGACAATAGGTGTGCAAATATCCTCAGTCTGAGTTGTCTGTGTGAC